TTAACGGAGAAGTAAAAGGAGGCTAGGCTATAGTAGGTATATAGGTATATAAACTAGATAGATAGGTAGTAGACTAGCGTTATTTAGACTAATAAGGCTTCGATTCGTTATAGCTTCTTTAGATAAGTCTACGTTATAAGGACGGTAGAGGAATAGTTCTATACTAACTATCTTATCTTATAGTTTCGTAAATACTCGGCCTATATAATATAGGGCTAGATATTAGCTACTAGACTAGGGGAGTATTATATCTTTAATAAGGGGAAAGTAACTAGAGATATATATAGGTAGTAGGTTATTCCTCTTATCTATAAAGGTATTTAACTCTAAAGGAGCTAGTTAATCTACCTATAACCTATAACTATTATATAGGACAATATATTAATCTATAAGGCTAAAGTAATAATATTACTCTTTAAGGACCTAGATATTTAGTTAATAAGCTAGCTAGCTAACTTACTAGATCTAAATCTAATTAAGAATATTTAGAGCCTCTTAAAGTATAGGATTAGCCTATATCTACCTATAATAAGAGATAAAGTTATAGCTATAGTATAAGCTAAATAGGCTAAGTTAATAGTCTCTAATATAGCTAGAGTATATTAAAGTATAAGGCAGAGGTATTAGGCAGTTATTAAGAACAATAGAGGGCATACTAAATGGTAATAAAGATCATGTATTAATATAGGCATAGTGTAGGCAGTTAGACTAGCAGGGGTTCGTAACGTTTGTACCCAACCCTGTATTCTCAAGAACTCCGTTTTGATCGACGGGACGCATCGTGGAGAGCAGTGGGTCGTCTCCCAACGTCGCGTGCGAGAGCAGCACGACATCTGAAACCCAGGAACGACTTCTGCGACGGAGAGCCTCCTGCGCAGATCGAAGAAACGGCTTGATTTGCTCATCACAGTTGCATCACAAACTGAGATGCAGTCCATTTGTCGAGGACAAGCCGCAATGTGAAGATTTCCCAACATGTTGCACCTCGCATACCACCAACACATCGACTTCTGGAACAGCACCCTGCTCGCAGTGCACATCTCTGCGGGGCGTTCCACCATGGATCAGATTCGACGCCACCCATGAATCCCCAGATTGCTCCTGGAGGCGTCTTCCCTGCGTGCCACTTTGAAGTTCACCCAAGCCCTTGATCCCCTTCCGTCTTTTCCCTTCGACGTGATGAGGCTTCATCAACCTTTCGCACCTCGGCCCGTTTCCGTCTGACCTGCATTGAAGATGCGGCATGCCGACCCTTTGACGAGGATGGCTTGCATGTGATAAAGCATATCTCACAAGAACGGGACAGAGCGAGAATTTCGGGACAACGGACGACTGCATGTCCGGGAAGACACATTGGTGATTCAGAGGCACTTTCTTGCGTGCAATTTGGGCATCAATGGCCTTGGACGGGGGAGTCGACTCCTGGCGAGATGCTGGCTGCTGGGACCACATCGAATGACAGCTGCAGTGCAAAGAACCAGAACCGTAATATGCCGCATGTACCAGGAACTTGGCTTTTCCAAACCGGTATGCCGTGCAGTCTTCCCTGGGGCCGTACAACCAACCCCTCTGGCCCGCCCAAGCGATACAGTATTTCAGGCTCTTCGCGACTGGCCAGGTGTCTGCAATTGCTGCCAATCACACTTGGAAGAATACACATCATGCTGCACTGCCAGGACAAGTGTTTGCACTTCCCCAATGCTGACGGTCTCCCAAGCATTATCCTTTGGTTCGCCTTGCATTGAAGGCACTGACATAGTTTCGGCCAACCACGAAGCGATGGATTACCATAAGAGGCATCGTAATCTCTCCTTGACAGGAACATCCTCTCCCACAATCAAGTGACAGCTGTCTACGAAATGCGAGGAGTTTTTGGATCTTACTGTACTGCACGAACGAAGTCCTGGAATGATCCCTACTTGGACCCTTATTACGACCCAACTCCAGGCCATTCGACATCCTACTCCAGTCGAGAGTCCCTGCTTCCAATACTCTCACACAACCAGATGAGTCATGTTTCTATTTCAACACCACCTCTAGATCACCAGGTTGTCAATTCACTCATACGACTGATTTACGACCTGAAGTCCAGACTCCACCAAATCTCCCTGCTCGCCCGCACGAACGACATCCGTGTGCCCATCTGTCCACCACCGCACGACTTTGATTACACGTCAAGGTTCACCTCTGCAGCTTCCTGGAGAGCTATAAGAGACCCTGTACCTTCCCGAGTTGTTAGTCTTTTGTGGGGAATCCATGCCTGGCTGTTAGGGGCACCTTGATGGTGCAGAGTCAGCATCCACCAGGAAGGCGGTTTTAAGGTATATAGGCGTGCCGCACTGACCCCTCGAGTTCTGCTTCCTGCCGTCCGCTGATGTACCTGCAGAGATGTTCACGAGCTTTAAAGACGGTCACGTGCGAGGTTTTCGCAACGCTGCTTCCACTGACGGTTACAGCTCTCTCAAGTCAGCGACGTTCCAACTCGACAGTCTTCTTACAATCTTCTTCAAGACAACATCTGCACTGCGGAACACTGACCCACCCCACAAGCGCGATCTGTCGAGTCATTCAGTCACGTCGAGTCACGCAGCTGCATCCCCGGGACGATTGAACAACCTGGTTGTCACGCACGCACAACGACACGCTTCACGTTTCAATCGCGCAACGGTGTTGCAATGAGGCCCAACACCATGGCTGACATGCATGGTCTCCGTTCTATTCTCGCACACGACATGTGACGAAGCGCGGTTCGGACGATCTTTGTGGTTGTCACGACGCGCTCCAGGCGCGATGACATGAATCTGTCCACAGGAGGCTCGAGTTTCAACAGAGTCTCGCCAATCTGGGCGGTAAATCTTGGCGAGCTACGTGAATCAGTGCAAACCTGTGGAGAGTCGAAGGCAGATTTCTTCACGGAGCTGGCTCCTCATCGTCGGATCTTTATGAGATATGAGATCACGTTGGACTCTGGCGCTCGCTCACAAGCAGCATCTGCTAAGGAAACGTCGGCGAGTTGGACAGACCATGGGAGGGTTCTTGCGTCGAAGCATTATTCATCAGCCTCACAATCCCGCAATCTGCCGACTGACTAGCAGAGGCGTCAACTCCAGTAAGTCTCCAACAGCTGCGTTGAAGTATGGCTGCCCAACCGGTGCTGGCCTTGAGTCGTTACAAAGAAGTCGACGCTCGCCAGTGGCCCGCTGAGACTGCCTCTCAACTGCTCATGCTGCCCCAACTTCACGCACTCTTCAATCTTCGTACACCATGTCGAAACAACTACGACTTCTCCAAATGCCCCCAGTGTCATCATTCAAGAAACGTCCGCCTCGATTTTCCTCCGTAACCTCATATACATACACCCTCTCCTGCAACACAGTCTCGCTCCTCCAACCCTTTTCCCTCTAGCGTTTCAAATCATACAGCCTCTTTCTGTCGTCTGCCCTACACTATCGGTAGAGTTCTCACAAAAACTACGTCTAGAGACAGAAAGCTTCGCATTCGTCCCTTCCAATACAACAACCTCAACACGATACAAGCGCATGTGAGCATTGACTACATAGAACATAGCTCCAAAGAACAACGATTCCCAGCCGTCACCAACGCCGAAAGAGACAGCAAGCTCCACCGACAGCCCATCCTCACATTAACACGCCATCACAGCGAGTACCACGCCCAACAACAATGAGCTAGAGCTAAATCACCAGCGAACACTACGCAAAGTCCTGTGAGAAACCCACCTGTACATTTATATCGCCTCCAATAAAAAGAATCGGATACAGTGGTCTCACTATACACCTCAACTACCAAAAAAGCCTTCTCTAGCTCGTGGAGCATGTGATTGTGGAGTCTGTGCACTAGTCACCTTTCCCACGGCCTCCATCCGTACTTTGGCTTTGACAATGCTGTCTTGCCGGTGAGACTTAGGACTGACCACACGTAGGTAGTTTGCCACTCAATTACACGGTCGTCAACTATTTCATCCCGACGTGATGGGAAAATCTACACTGGATGGATAGACGGAGGGACACTGTGAGAAGGCGTCTTCCACGCCTCACTCAAGAAGACATCACACAATCTACATGCATGCCCTCCATTTCTAATTACCAGACACCACCACCAAAACAAGAAACACACGTAAGACTCGCCTGAGATGAGACAACACTACGATAATAACAACAGTCAAGGAGCTCAAATCTCTCTCGTTTATGAAGAACGTTATAGACGTACATACACCAACTACTTTCGCACCCAGCCAGATGCACACTGCACACTGCACATACACATCTCAACCCCATCCCCCCCCCCCCCCCCCCGGTCCAACCAAAAATCCATCAATTCATCAACATCACCAAAGAATCAAAACAAGGCCTTCCCAGTCCAGTTACTCAATGACCAATTCAAAAGATTTCCCGTAAATGCCGTCAAAAGAATAAAGAGATGCAGTCCCTTCGCTCCTCCCCATACATATGGAAGAACCAACAACATCTACAAAAGCGCAAGCACAATCGCAGTCGCAGTCGCAAAACAGCAAACAAATTCGCAAAGGGTATCACTAATGCCTCCCATATTCCCATATCCCATATCCGTTCAAATGCGCCAGTCCCAATTTTTGATGTCTCCCTTCCCCCGATGACGATGCCTTTTTGGTTTCATGGTTCGCTGTGTCCGGTAACTGGTATGTTCCTGTGTCTGTTTCCCCAATTTTGTTCGTGTTTTGACTCAGTCCTGTTACGTTCAGTGATGAATGTCGTCTTCGTCATTCGTTCGTTGGCCGCCCATATGTCCTTTCGTTGATTTTCGATGCAAGTTTTTCACACACAAAGTTCATAAGCTGTTTCCTCCTAATGATGCTGGTTTCACCTCCGTGTTGCCGGGCAAGAGCAGTTCGATGCACATCTGCATCATGTCGCCCGCCGCGTGCAGGAGCTCCCAGCGTGGTTGTTGGAAGCATTCGCGCATCAGGATCAGCATGCCGACCATGGAGTTGCGGTCTTGGATCTTTTCTAGATCGGCGGGCGTGGAGACGCTGTTCATGCGGTTGAGGTAGTGGTCCATGTCGTAGATTTGCAGCTCTCGTGTTGTGAGGGTGTAGTTGGACGGTGTGATTGGACCGTCCAGGGCGTATCCCCACGACCACACGATCATCAGGGCGAAGTATAAGATCCAGGGCCGATTGAGCAGATAGTCGTCTCGCGCGTTGTAGGTAAAAGTTGGTGGTGGTTGGGCTGCGCCGGATTGACCAGCCTGGTTTGGATCGTTTGGTAACAACACTTCATACAGGAAGCGCAGAGCGTAGAATGCTGCATCACGAGCCCGTGCAGATACAGCCCATTCACGCATCTTTCGCTGCACGCTTGCTCGATCGGAGTCGCTCACAGCTCGTCCCAATGCCCGTTCGGCACCGGCAAAGACCTCGCAATCCACGATGTCTGCTTGCATGGCCATGTGCGCCAGACTATGCAGACATGTTCGCGATTCGAAGACGTTGTCTCGATGGTCCACATGGCATCTTGACTTGTTCTCAGGGTTCGACACTTGCTGCCAGTGGTCGCTCTTGCTCAAGCTCTCATCAAAGTCTTTGCGCCAATGGTCAAAGGCGCGAGTTAAGGGAGAACGCCAGCGGACGGGGTTTCCCAGCGGAACTGAAGGACCGAGAGACGATACTTGTAGATCGCGCTGATTCATATGCCAGCTCACGTTCAACAGCCCTGCCATGAGGACCACACGACCGAAGACATTGGTGCGGACCTTCTGCCCGTTTAGCGTCTTCTTCAAGCCTTCCACGAAGGTCGTTGTTTTAAAACCGTTCGCTGCCAGACTCGCCTCGACTCTTTGGACTTCAGCACTACTCGTGGCAGCCCAAAGTGCCTCGTCGCATGGTAATGGCAACCGCAGGTCATGTGGTGACATGACGGCAGCATGGCCGAAAAGCGTGGCATGCGTTGAATCAATGATGAACGCCGCGAAAGCGACTCGTCTGGTGGCTTCGGCAGTAATCCAGCGATTCCAAAATGCATCTGGCGTGTTTTGACCGCTGGTGTTGATGCTGCCGTCTGGGCCAGGCGGCGTTCTCGTAGGATCGTGATGTCCAGATGGCGATTCGATCACGCTGCGTCCAATAAGTGACGAGCCTCTCCTCATGACGGTGAGAGTCGTAGCGTGGTGGATGTGAGCTCGCTCGTGCAGGGCTCGCGTGCTGTACATCTTCTCGAACAGCTCGAGGAGGAGCATCGTCTGGAAAGTCCACAGCTTGGCGGTCGGCCTAAACTCAACGTCCTTGAAAACTTCCCAGCGAATGTGGTATGCCGAAAAGAATGCCAGCTCTGCACAATTTTTGATCAGTTCTGGAGGATGCGTCCGCTCCAAACAACATGCGCCAAGGCAGAACATGGACAGAAGTAGAAGATCTGGACACGTTTCTGCGTTGAAAGTAGGACGATGCATGATTGGCATTTGCTGGTGAATGTGGATCCAGAAACTCGTCAAGTACGTCTTCAACATGTTGATGCTCAATGCGTGGGTCGAATCGGATGTGTCGCCTGACAGAATCTGGTCCTTGGTCTTGCGTCCAGTCAAAGTCTCCACATCCTCGAACGACCGCACCAAGGCGATGATACGCCCCTGTTTCTTTTCGCTTATGATGCTCTCGCGCATGCTCAAGTCCATACCGCCATTTGTGGTCGGCGAGGTCGAGTCCCACGAGGGCGGCGTTTCCTTTTCAGGCTCCATCTTTGGCAGCGGCATGGTGGGAATTTGCATTTCGAGTGGCATTTCTGACGTTGGCGGCGATGGAGGGTTGGTCATGTCGAGGTCACCACTGGCGAGCAGCTGATTGAACAAGGCGTCATCCAAAGCTGATTGTGGTGAACGATTGAAACCGTCGCCGCCGAAGACCGGCATCGCGTAGCCCGAAGCATACTGATCGATCACATTGAAGTCTGCCACACTGTTAGCTCCCGAGTTTGGCACCTGATATTGGTCCAGACCGTTGAGCGATGGAGGCGACATTGCGCTCCCTGGTCTCACGCTGCCAGGCCCACCATATGAAGTTTGGACACCGAACGATGGCAACGCTGGTAGTGTTGGATATTGGGTGGCTGTTGGTGATCGATAACTGTGGCTCGCCGCATTCTGAGAGGAATAAGACGCTTGGCCATACATTGGTGCTGACGTTGGTGGGGATGTGAGTGGCGGCGGATGCATCGAATTGAGTGTTAGCTGATGTTGGCCGTATCCATTCGTCAAGTTCATCGGCCTGCCGTACTGATTGTCGATGCTGTATCGTCTGCCACTAGGTGATGCCGGTGGAGGCATAACGTTCGCCGCTGTGTTGAAGCCTGGCGGGTATGAGTTGTACGAAGCACCAACGTTGACATGAGGGTCGACTGGTGTAGGAGCTTCTGAATGTAACGGAGGCAGCTCAGGTACGGACGATTGGCCTTGATATTGCTGTTGCTGTTGTTGATCGCCCGCTGTCGTGTATGGGTGGATCGATGGTGCACCAGCTGATGACATGTACTCTGAATGCGAGGATGGTGGATGCGGTGCATGGGCCGAATCGACGGGCGAAGCTAGCGTTGCAGTCGTGGTTCCTGAATCGGAAGTCTGTCCATTCGAATTCGCAACCACGCGCTGGCTGTTCATGAAGGCATCCTTGCGTTGGAGGTGGGAGCCCTTGGCGGTATGCCGTTCCTTGTGCCGCGCACAGAGGTCGGCGCGAACAAAGTGCCGGTCACACCCTGGGAAGTCACAGTGGTAGATTTGCTTGGGCGTGTCTGGCAAGACGTCAGCTTCCAGGTCGGATATCAACATGGCGCGGGCAGGCTTCGGGGATACGAACGATTCAGTTGATGCCGGTACAGATGCTCGGCCCTCGAGTACGACTTGCCGCAATCAGGCTGCGGACACTCATACTTCTTGTCGGTCGGCTTGATCACACGACGCTTCTTCTTGGGTTTCGAGGTGGAGGTCAAGTCGTCGACCTCGTGTTCGGCGTCCTCCATCTCCACATTCTCGTCATTGCTCTTGCTGCCGGGCCGCGTCTCCAACGGCGCGGAGCCCGCAGTGTCGGAAGTGCCCTTCATGGTGACCCCGGGGATGTTCATATCAACGTCCAGACAGGTCGCGGCGAGTTGAAGTGTCGGTAGTTGCTGGTTGCGCGCGCACGGTTGGTCAGCATGCTCGAGGCGTTCGTTCTCCGGAGGTGGTGGACTGCGGCTCTCGTCATCGCCTGGAGGGGGTCCACGTGCGCCTCGCGAGCTGGGGCAGCGGGTTGGCGGGGGCAGGGCAGGTGACGGGGTGTCGAGGAGGAAGAGGCACGCGCGCAGAGGGTATTGGTAGGCGGCGGAGGAGGATGACTATGACGGACAGCAGCAGCCAGCCAGGCGCAACGATGCACAGCGCTGCGCACGCTTCTGGCGTGCAGATGGCTGTGGAGAAGTGGAGTCGAGCCGGGGCCAGGATGTCCGAACGGGGGGCGGCGGAGGGTGTTGGTGTTGCACAGCGAGCAGCAGACGTGAGCGCCCGTATCCTGAAGGCCCTCAAGCGCCAATAGCCATGGTGAGGTGAGCAGTGAGCAGCTGGTACTGTACCGACTTGCGCATGTGGGGAAGGGCAAAGCGTGGGATGTCGTCCGCTAGCAGAAAACTGCTTCCCGAGATCTCTCAGATACCATTCACCACTCTCGACCGTCACGCCCTGCGAGCGGGGCGACGGTATATACATTCACTGGCAGTCCTCCCACGACATGCCTCGTCCGCTGACTGCCTGCGCTATGATTCGCCTGCGCGTAACAGACTCTTCCGCACCGATGACCACCGCACGACCCTCCACTCGATCGAAGGCTCACGCAGGGCCGATGCAGCACACTGCAGCAGCGGGGAATCAAAGCGAGGCAGCCTCACGCTCGCACCAGGATCACGGCGGCCATTGCGCGCGGTCGACACTGAACGAATGCCACTGCCCACCCGCCGCAGATGCCTCTCCCCGATCATGATGAGGACCGTCGAATGCCTGCGCCAACCGCGCATGTCCAGCAGGCCCAGCATTTCGCCGGATTGGAGCAGAGGCGAGCTCCTACCGCAGGCGGCCATGTGTCTGCGCTGCAACTCGCCACACTGGGCTGAACTCTGCTGGGATGATTGCAGCAGGCGCTGGGGCCCGGTGGCTCACTGTCGCATGCTCCCTTAACCAAACGGGACGACTGGTGGGAAACGCCAACTGATTCTCACAACTAATCGAAACACCGCCAGTACGTACTCGCTGCCTTTCTCCTCACGCCCCTGCCGTCTTCTCCGGTCGCTCGCTCTGACATACACGCTACGACCACTGTCAGCAACGTTACTGCCAGCCTCCCTCCCGTCTGGTAACTCGAGCGGGCGCGACGGCTTTGGTGGAGCTGTGTCAAATGAGTCTAAATCGTCCTCACTTCACGCCATCAAACAACCCACAAGCCAGACAAACAAGAACAAGCCGCCGTACCACCAGCCTTCCCCAGATTTTCCAACCAACCCCTCACGCACAGCATGAACGACGGACGAGCATCATCACCCAACATTGACTTGGCCCTACACGCAATGTCAGCCTTTCTTTTCCCTCTGCCATCCCACGCAGCGTGGGATGACCAAAAATACACCTGCCTTACCAGAGAAAGCAATACGCCATCCACCCACCATCACATCACGCGTCTCGCTTCTCCGCTTTGCTGAGATCATAGACCCTTCACCACGCTGCCCAGCCGCATCACACGGGACACGAACATCCACACCACCCGTCCGTCGGACAATTATCTCGATTCCAACCACACGAAGCATGTGGCGTTCCCATAAGGCTGGAAGAGGGAAGCCCAGAAGGAAAAGACGCAATGTGGCCCTCCTGCAGGATTACATAAGTGTCGACGTGGGGGCTCGCATCCAACGTGGCTTGTTGGAGGAGAGGAGAGTTTGCACCTCACTTAGGCGAAGCTGCAGTGTCGCATCCTGAGGCTGGTGTCGAGAGGAATTTTCTGCCCTACGGCATAACGCAGCCCTCTCTGCAACTACGGACTGCAGGACGAGGAAGAGATTTCATATCCTGCATCCCACAAGTCGATTCGACACCAACATGTCTGCTGAGGCCGACACGCAAAGTCATCGACCGGGAAACGAGATCTGACCACACGAACACCACACCCATCTCGCGAACCACTCAGCGACACCAAAGGTAAGTGAGGTAAGTGCTTGCGAAAAATCCCGGTCAGCAGAGATGACGAAACACGCACGAACGCACCCGGATCGACGGCTTCCACACATGAAACTTCTCGTCTCTCGCGACATTCGTTCGCTCGTCTATCTGCAAAAAGTCATAACAAATGCCAGATGCTGTCATAACGGCGCGGCCCATCAGCACTTATTGGGCCTGCTGCACCGAGCCGCGTTGCATGTCCTTCTAGCCCGGAAACTTCCCTCACAATCCACCACGCCGGTGGTGCCTGAATATCAGTGCATCAGGCCTGCCAGGGGCGAAAAGTATAGTCATAGTCGTCCGCAAGGCTAGGACTTGCCATTGTCGTTCTTCCTCTGCTGCGTTGGCATCTGCCCTGCCACGCTGCGCCTTTCCCCTGCGTCGCTATCAAGCCTAGGCATGCCGCCGGCGCAGCACTCACTGCCCGTTCGCAATGCCTTCACTCCCCGTCGCCGCCACGTTACCGTTGCCATTGACCGTAGCATCCACCCCATTGCCGTAGTACTCGTCCTGCTTCAGCTTCATCTCCTCACTAATATCCCACACACCGCTCGGCTGCTTGCCCGTCTTCTCCGCCCAAAACGCCTGCCGCTCAGCCAGCACCTCGCTCGCCCACTGCTGCACCTCCGGCAACACAATGCGCTTCGCCACGCGACTGAACTCTCCCAAATCCACCTTGCCCTCGTGTTGCCGCTCGTACTCGATCATCTGCAGCAGCAGCTCCATCTTGTCGACATCGTGCACGAAATGCGACTCCAGCGTCTCACTATCCTCATACTCTTGCCACAGCTCGCGGATATTCGCCCCCGCCGCGCCGCCGGCGACGTTGCCCAACGACGACTTGGTGAGGTAGTCCATCGTCTCGGCCTCACGTCGGGACTTCTCGCTCTTCGTGACCCCATCCACGGGCGTAATGTCTCCAACTAACAGCTCCGCCATGTCGTGCACGAGCGCCATCATCGTGCAGCGCGGTAGGTTGATCCGTGGGGCGAGTGAGGGTGGGCAGAGCATGGTGATGATGGACATGCGGTACATGTGGTCTGCGATGGATTCGCCGTGGTGGATGTCGAAGCGGCGCCATCCCTCGCGCTTGGTGGTTTTGAGGCGCTCGAGGAGGTGGAAGAAGGGGAGGGGCGAGGTGGAGTCTGTTTGCGGGCGCTCTGGGAGGGTCGAGAGGACTGCGTGAGGTGCGTTAGTTAGAGTAGGGATGGCAGTGGCTATGGTACAGGTAAGGCTCACGGAGGACTCTTGCTCCAGCCTGGACAGCGTTGCTCACGTACCGGTCTCTGGTGTCCAGTGGTTGTCGGCCTGGGAGGGCGTCAACAGACCTGACGTGGGCTCTGCGGTGGATTGTCAGTCTTGTCGATAGACGTCACTGTCAGAGAGTGAATGTTTACTGGGCGTTTCATTGGTCTGCACGGCTTCCGGTGCCATGGCTGCTGCTGTCGTGTCCTGTTGTGATGGCGGGGTGTTGTGGTGCTACGCTATGCTCTGACGCAACGGCTGCTTCTCCTGCAGAACGCAGTGACGGCGTCCAGGATGGCTCTAATCGCTGGCGTGTCCGGCGGTATATGTAGTGCCTGTGATTGTGCTGGCTTTGGATCCGGTGTTTGACGCCGGACAAAGGGTGTCGATAACAAACAATCCGTCGCTGCCCACGGACTGCCAGCAGCCAATGGAGGAGTCAGCGGGCGAGACGATCCCTGCAGTAGATCCAGCCCCGAGCTGGCTCCATGTGCAGTGGCTATTTTGAAAGCATGTGTGTTTACCCTCCTGCATAACGGTGTCCATGCCTTGCAATTTCGCCCCTCGACACCCGCGAAAGGAGGCTCACCACGTCGTCGCCGCCATGCGTCTATACAAGTGATTCCATGACACGCCCGCCCGCTGCATAGGACATGTTCACAACTCCGCAGAGTCATGGACCACCGCCGCCCAGAGTCCGCGACCAGCACCACCTCCCATCACTCTCACAAACGGGCCGCGTCGAGGAAGCTTGCAGACGTCACGAGCAAACCGACTAGCGACTCCGCCGTTATTAATCTGTTTGTCAAGAATGTCCGGCTATTGAATCTGGACCTCCTCCCAGATTGGCCTGCCATCACCCCCTCCAGCTTCAGCAGTCTCGATGCTCGCGCGCGGATTCGGTGCACCGAGTGGTGTCTATATCAACTGTTCCAGGTCTACGACCCGGCGACGACGCAGGACAAACTGCAGCCTTTCTTCCCGCCGTTGGAGCCTTTGCAGAGCATCAACCTCCGCGCGGCGCTGTACAGATGTCTGAACGAGTTGAAGAAGAATGGGGTGTTGGGGAGGGAGACGGTGTTGAGGAAGTCGATGCTGGACGATTGTCAGGGTGACAAGTTCTGGGAGTTATGTTTGTCCTTCTCGAGTATTGTGCTCAGGAAGGTTACAGTGGACAAACAGAATAAGAATGGTACCCCTATTGCTGAGAGGATTGCTACTGCGGAGAGTTTGCGAAAGAGTCAAAGGGAGAGCATGCTGCCGCTAGCTATTGCGCATAGGGCTGCGTTGACGAGAGTGTTGTCTGAGAAGGAGCGCAAGAGACAGACCTTTGGGAGATTGTATCATGTCATGATGGACAAGGAGATTGATCTGAGGGAGAGAAAAGGGATAGTCCAGGAGCGGGGACGAGGTCGGTCACAGAAGAAGAGCATTGTCGCCGAGGAAGTGCTGGAGAAGGATTGGGTTGGCAGCGAAGAGCTTCGCTCGGCACTGGTCAATGGCGATGACGGTGCTGGCTCAGACAGTATCTTGACGAGGTCATTTGAGTCCATCTGGGGCGCGAACAAGGAGAATCAGCTCTTCTCGTCAGCCAATGCCGAGCACGGTGTGCTAGAGGACTTGAACCACCGCATGCGCTACCAGAAACGAAGGCTTCAAAAGTGGCAGAGCTTTCAGGAGAAATTGCTGGGCTCAAAGTCCTCAAATGCAAAGGGTCCAGGTGCTGCTAACAAGGGCGATGGCATGCAGTTCGACCGGCATCAGAATTTGACCCTTCGCGACATGGAGCACGACCCACCGTCACCGCCCTCGCCCATGAAACACCATCAGAAACATGACAGTGTCACCAAATACGACGAGATCCTGACGGCCATGCGAGAGGAACTGCGAAAGAAGTCAGTGGTGCAGAATGCTCCAGTCCCTGAGCTCGAGGCGACACCACGAGCAAGACCACAGTCGTACCGGAAACCCAGCGTCTCCCACGACTTCGCCATGAATAACATAGAGCCACATCAACGCTCGAACTCGCAGACGGCAGTCCCCATGCGTCCTATCTTCGGCAAACGTATGTCCTCGAGATCACGCTCATACCAACAGCCAAAGGTCATCAGTCAGCGAGAGCCTATCCCGTTGAAGTCAGAGATCTTCTCGCCTCTTAAGACGAAGCGTAGTAGTATCTCGCCGAGCTCTTCTGGGAGAATGTCCATGCTCTCCTCACCTGTCGAGGACCCCTCATGCAACAAACAGCTGGACGATGCGATCGCGGGAGCTGCTCGTCGAATGCGACAGGACAGCGATATCAGCAGTATCAATGAAGGACAAGGTCTTGGGATATCTTCCAACAGCACCCCTACACGAGGCAATTCAGGAACGAGCACCCCAAAGTCAGCACGGTCGAGCATTGGTAATCCAGACAGTGCAATAGAGCTGCCGTCCAGAATCTCCAATCTCGGCGTCGCAGGAAGGAACATGGACAGCATGGGCAGGACTGTGCGACCCTCGCTTGCAGACCGCACCCGCATGTCAATGGCATTCAAGAGTGCAGATGAGCTTGGCTCCATCAATCCAGAGATGCAAGGATCCAATATCGGCGACACAGCAGACGCAGTCGACTCGCCTCACTTGCATACCGCTTCCGCACAGGCCATGCTCGAACGTCGACCTACACTCCACGAACGCACGCGACAATCCATATCACTTGCGCCGCAGCCCGCATCTGCACCTACCATCACAAAACGAACGAGCATCCACGCTCGATCCCGCACAGCATATCCCATCAACCAGTTTGAGACCCCCCAGAAGGATCAGGCACCTCGAAGGTCCACAGTCGGCACGAACCACCTCGATGCAGAGGAAGACACACCACAGAGAAGCATCACGCCGCGGGAGAAGCTGTTCGAGCAAGACGCCGAATATGCCAGCATCTTCAAACCCCGACCGAAAGTCGCGCTGAGTCCTGTCATGAGCCCTTCTTTTGTCAGCGAAAGCCCGATTGACGTCGACAGTGTTGAGAACGTAGGCCTGTCGAGTCCATTGACGGGCAGAAATGAATGAAAAAGGATGATGTATGTCCCGTCATGAAAGGAAATTGAACGGCCTTTCTTCTCTTGTGTGTGAGTGAGAATGAGAGATCTACGTGTACAGAGGTACTTCCGTTATGTCAAAAATTTCGAATCCTTCTGGTATTTCCCTGCATGGAATCAAACAGTGCTGTTCTGGGCTAAGACGGGGGGCATGTGGCAGACCGACCGACGACCGACGACAGACGTTCTCGATGAGCCTTCTCTAAACGGTGCCACCTCGTCTCTCACACAAACACTCACTCTCTCTGTCTATTCTTGTTTACTGGTGATTCCAACAGCGTCGAAGTACGTGGACGATCGTTTGGACAGACCAAAATTCGAAACAGTCAGCATACCCCGAAAAGTCGCAATTAATGATTTAGCCGGATTTGATGAGAGTGAGACGAGACCGAAGCGTGGAGGGAAGATCACAGACACGGGATCACATATCGCTCCGTCGGGCCCGAACACGACGTTTCTGTATTCCGAATTCCGAACATGAGGTGTAAGGTCTTTGATCAACGCACTTTCGAGGAAGAATATTGGTGGACGGCTCCACATTTTGCCCGGTGCTTCAGGACTCCTGGATTTGGCGCTCCCGCGGACACAACCTTACGGCGCAGTTCAAGTTCAGCTCTACGGACCGGCGACAATGCGGCTGGTCGCCCGCAGCTGCCGGGCGTTGTATGTGGTATCGGACCTCACCTCTCACACATCACATCCAACCTCGAAGCAGCAAAGGTTCCTCGCACGATGAGTAATACCCGATTCTCGAAATCCCAGCTATACCTTCGACGGAACGGCCTCCGTATCAAACGACAGCCGCTGAGACCGAGAGACTGCTGCTGCTGCAGGTACCGATCCACCGCCCTCGCCATCCTCTCCCTGGCAGACGTCACCCGTTAAGAAAGACCTCCCTACACGCCCGCATCGCACGGCAGACCGCAGTGCTACGTGCGAACTCGGCTAGGCACCGCAAAAGCATGTTCCCTTCCCTTCCCTCTCCCGCGGGCGCCTGTGCATGCCGTAGTGAGAAGTTTCGTCGTCGTTCCTTCACTGTCACAAGCCTTGCGTCGATGACTACACATTTTGCGGCTCGACTTGGGCGGATGGGGACCCTGTGGGCGTCTATCACTTTTGCTACTAGACGAGAGACTCTCTAGCCTCTGCCTGCACGTCGGACCGGGGGAGACGAGGCGTCCTTTTCCTGCGAGGCGATTCCGGAGAGCTCCATCGAATATTGTCTAGCCTCGACAGCCTGTCCACGACGCCAGCGCGTTTGGATGGGTGGATGACCTGTGTAGTTGTTAGCTAGGTATAGTCGTTGTGGTGACGATCACTTTGGAAAGGTGAGAGCTGGTAGATATATACGTGCCTGTTCGTCTCAGGGTTTTCACTTGTTCGTGAAGTTAGGTTTCTATTTATCTTTTTGCTAACGCTTGGAGTTGACGGATTCGAAATCGATCAATCAATCATCACGTTCTTTTCCGCTTCGTGGCAACCTGTTACCGTCCAAGAGAGAAAGAAGGAAAGACTTCTATCACCACCACCTCTTCCTCTCTCCTCTACCACTAATCACCAACATCAACCAACACCACCCTTAACAACCCCCAAACACCACCACACAAAAATGAACCGCCTAGGCCTAATGCACCCCTCAACCCTAACAGGCAAACACAACGCCGAAACCTCCGCCCTCTACAACGCCTTCAACGAACACACCTCCCAAGTCCTACAAGGCGCCAACATCACCTACAAACTCCCCTCGACCGGCGCCCTCGTCGGCCCCTTCGGCATCCTCCTGCACACGCCGCACGTCGGCCGCGCCTTCCTAGATTTCTGCAACGCCCTCTTCGAACTCCCCGGCCTGACGGACCGCACGCGCACCATCATCGCGTTGGTGGTCGCCGCGTACGAGAATTCGAATTATCACTTTTATTTCAACGGGCGGCTGGCGCAGGAGAGGGGGATGACGAAGAATGAACTCGATAGCTTGCGCGCGGGGCTGTACGCTCAGTCCTTCAGCGAGGAGGAGAAGGCGGCGTATGGCGTCGCGCGGGAGCTGTGTGCTTCGAGCGGGAATCTGTCCGAGCGGGCGTGGAATGATTGTGTGGCGAAGATGGGGAGGGAGGGGACCGTGGCGTTGGTGCATTATGTGGGCTTTCATAGGTATATTGCGACTATGTTGAGGGGGTTTGATGCGCAGATGCCGGCGCCGAGGGAGAGGGTGGAGAATCAGGGGGTGCAGCAGGGTGGGAGTGGCAGTGGCGGTGGTGGCGAGGCTGCTGGGCCGAGTTGATCTGTCAAGGCGGACGGATGTGACGAGTGGTGGAATCGATGGGCTGGACTGAACTGGACGGATTGAGCATTCCGAAGGAGTTGGTTTGTTGGTGTCATGGCTGTGCTTGCTTGCTTGCTTGCATTTCGTACGGCGTTCTGTTCCATTCAGTCAGCGTTAGCAGCATCTCGAGCGTGGTTAGTTAGTATGCATAGCAATGGCGTTTGACCCTTTAGTCCTAGTAACCCTTCTTGGCCCTTCTGGACTGCTTCCTTCCACGCATCCTTCGCCGCTTCACGGACGATGGCCGTAAGTCTCTACTGATTCATCCTCAGCCGCTGACTAACACGGTAGGGCCAGCACATGGAAGTCAACGAAGGCAAACCATGGAATCTTATCCTCCGTGGCTGCTTGGAAGACTAGAGGTCGATATAGTCAAACCTAAACCAGTATACTTGGTCCGTTCAGGAAGGCACATGGACCACGAGGCAAGCTTAAAAGCCAAAATCCTTCCTGGCGTCGATGGAATCAATCATACACTAAAGACAAGCCTGGAGGATTCGTTCGCCGAAGGATTCAATAAGGCGCAGACATACACCTGCTCGTGTCCATGTAGTCCTATCATGAAACCAGTTAGGTTTAGGGAAGTCCGCTACGCACGTAGGCATCTCCGATTCCGCATTCGATCGCAAGAACCGACTTCACTCTTACCTTTCCGTTGTCATTCAGACGGCAACTTACTAACCTCACTACACGCTTCTTCCGTCGGCACTACCATTCCACTGGTAACGAACGAAAGCCCTCTCTGCAGCTAAACTCTTCGTTTAAGCAGAACTCTGGCCTTCCTTCCTTCCTTCTCGCCTGTGTCCCGCATGTGCACCACATGGTCCTGAATCCCTCGCCATGTATTCGAACATCGTGACTCGGTTAACTTCGATGCGCTTGTCGAGAAGGGCAGCTGAAGGTTCTAGGCAACAGTTTTGGGTAGATGGGTCCGATCGGGCCGTATCATTCGGGATGGTGAAAAAAGTTCGTACGGACACCATCTCGAGACGAGTCTGTTTTGCTTTCTTTGGAATGCTAGACGATAGAGCAAAGTTGTCTGCGTGTGTGCACGATACGAGCATGTGACCGATTGGGCGAATTTGCGCATGCGCAAATGGAGTAGCAGCTTCTATCAGGAGACCGGCGACGAGTAGGGATTGGCTGTGTGAAAAGCATGGAAGTGCAATCGATTCGATTCTCGTGGGCGTATCTCTTAAAGCTGCACTTTTCGAGTGTCGCCTGTCGAAGCAAGGTTATTCTAATCGTTAGCATATTTATCGACAATCCGAAAACACCGCCTTTAAGCCTTTGCTCGATAGACAGGATACTTATCCAAGGCCTCATACCACAGCAACAAGCTGCCGAATAAGAAGGCAAAGCTGGCCCAGAGAGTGCTGAGATTGCTCTGATATGCACACCAAGATGGAGAGCAGTAGCCAAAGCTGGCGCTGAGAACCCATCCCACGCTGCCGGTGAGATTGAAGACTCCGATCCACCAGCCGAGTACTTTCGGTGCTGGGAGCCACCACTTCTTTTGCGTTTCGAGGACGTACAAAAGTGAACTGACGGTGAAGAGAACGCCACCGACGAGGTAGGCGAGCCAGTACGTGCCCCATAAGACGGGTGTTGAGATTTTGTTGTAGATGCCCGGCAAGGCCATGATTCCACTGACCTGCAGGACTTCATTAGTTGTGTGAATTCCCACGTAACGAGACTCATCTTACGTAGAACACAACAGCACCGATGGCCATGATGAACGAGCCGAGGAATCCAATCTCCCGGAGGTAGTGTGAAGTAAGCTCATGCCGAGTGGGTGCCCATTCCCACTTCCTACCAGCCTCTGGATGTTGCAGGTGAACGCCATGATGCAATCCGCGGTGATGATGATGCTTGCACGCGTTGGGTTGAGAGCGGACCTCTGATGCCTGCTTCTCAGCTTCTGGTCCGTTCGTGTCGTCTGCAACGAAGAGATGCTCGACGGCCCAGCCAAAGCATCCAGTCTGGTTCTCGTTGGAGGCCTCCACGATGAGGAGGACTCCTCCGACCGTGAACAAAGTAGCACCAATGAAGGCCATCACTCCACCTGCAACGAGCGATTCGTCGTGAAACGTAATGCTGGGAGCCGCCAGGGGAAGCCAGTAGAAGAACGAAGAGACCGCAAAGATGGCTGAGCCGTATGTGAAGAGAACCGCAATCCACCACGAGACGTCCCACCAGGCCCATACTGCAGTCTCATTAGCACATGTGTACTGGCGCTTAGTAGGTGTTCTGCAATTCGCTCATGCAATAATATGCCAAGAGCACCTCATTGCTAAAGGAGGCGCATTCAGAGTGAGAGCATAGCTGCAGCATACCTGTAATCATACGCCACACTCCTTGAGCAATGGCACCTGATGAGCTCGTGATTCGTGGTGGCTCGGTCGGTGCATGTGTAGGTGGGACGACCAGAATATGACGACCTGAAGTCTCTCAGCTTGATTCACCTTGCGAGCGCAGATGGTGAGATAACAGACCTTTGCGATTGTCTCGCGCGCGCCACTCAACTCGATACGCGTCTTTGCCCGAGACTTCCGTTCGTGCTGTCGCTTCAGCGGGCGCTGGTAAATCGAAGTTCGCTCGTGTTGGGTTCAGAAAGGAGACGGGTCCTTTGACGGTTCCATCTTTCGGTGGTCCCGGTGTCTTTTCTAGTACTTGCTGATGTACGGGCGTCGAGAACTGGGTGCTTCGTGACATGCTGTTTTGGTGTTCGATGTTGTTGTGTTTTGATCAGTAGTCGAGCATCATTCGCGTTTATGCAGTCGTGGTGCAGTGATTGGCCGAGCGAGTGTGTGGCGCATTTCACTGCGACGACAGCGGCATGGATGCCGGAGTTGAAGTCGTGTGTTTGTGATGAGGCTCATGTTGGTGTTGAAGTCGAGGAGTGCTTGCTGCTGCCGTTGAGCTTGCCTTCCCGTCCTTCTCGTAAGCCTTTAGTGACGGCAGGCCGCACCTAACAATATCTCAACCCACATGACCTAGGCAGGTGCTCGATTGACCCTTAATCCTTATTATTAGATAGATCTCACTTCACTTCTCGCTTTACTTAAACCTCTCCTTTACTAAAAACAATACTATTTAAACGCCTATTGTCGCTCTAGTATAACTTTATATACCGCTACCTTTATACTCGCTTTAAACTACTTATACTACTCGTAATCTAAAGACAATAGTAATAATAGCGAGTATAGCGACTTAAACACGATATATACTCGCCTAAAGTGTTCGTAAAGCTATTACTAATAATCTATATAAATACCGCCGCTCTATAACTAAAAGTAAGTACTACTCGATTACTAAAGACGACTTTAATATCCTCGTCGTATAGTACTCGTAGGCGGCCGCCTAAGTAAAGCGTAACCTTAATTAGAGGCTTAAGAAGTACGATTACGCTAGTTATATTAAAGAGATAGATAAGGGTACTTATACTACTCGTATCTATTAAGCGTATACTAATAGAGGCTACGTATATATAATATTTAAGATAGAGGTTATAGTATATACTCGCTATAAGTTCTACTAGCGCGGTAGCTATATAGCGAGTACTAGTAGATATATTTAAGAGACTATAGGCGAGGATATAGATATAGAGGATACGTAGGATACTATAGATAGTACTCGTAATACTAAGGCGACTATACTAGCTATAGTAGCTATAGATATAAGTACCTTATTTAGTACTCTATAGAAGGTTAATTTAGAGCCTAATATACTAGCTCTAGAGACTCTCTTCTATATACCGACCTATAAGGAGTAAAATAAGGTTATTTAGTATATTAAGTATTAAGATAGAGAGATTAAGAAGCTTAAGTAAGAGCTTAGTAAGTACCGCGAGTACTATAAGTAGACTACTAATACTATTATTAAGCTAGGTATTTGCGCTAACGAGGGTACTCGCTAGTAGAATCGCTTTATAAACCTCCTTAACTAGGCTTACGATAATCTTATAGTTACCTATTACTATATTATTTCTAGCCGGTATATACGAGTATCTAAGCTCGTCGAGTATAAGCTCGAGGAGCTTACTAAGGCTTAATTAGGTCCGTCTTTTACTAGTTATAAGAGTGCTAGTACTGCGGTTAAAGAGATCGTTTCTATTACTTAGTTTTAGATTAATTAGACGACTATAGAGATAGATAATAAGTTAGCTAAAATTAATAGGTAGATTAAGGGACCTAAGCCGGAGAATTATAAGTTAATATAGCGCTCGTAGCCTCGTATAAGCGAGCACTTTAAATATATAGCTTTCTAATAATCCTATACCTTCTTATTTACTTGTATCTATTAGGTTTACGCCTTAGCCGCTGCTTCTTCTTCTCTGGCTGTTAAAGGCTACTTAATTATTAATCTTAGTACTCGCTCTTAACCTACTCGCTTTAATATTAATCCCCCTACCTAGCTACTTATAGATCGTTACTAGGGTACTTGCTCTATATACTATCTTTTATTATATCGACAAACTCTAGTATCTTCTAGATATTAATCGTTCGCACTATATAGCTTAATAGCTCCTTCTTAATAAATAGTTACTTCTTAATACTCTATATAATATTCGCTAGTATAGGTTCCTTCGAATAGGTTAGTACTAGTATCCTATAGGGAATTAGGCTTATAGTAGTACTCGATTAGTAAGGACGCTTCTTTATAGGCGTTATAGTACTTACTTTGCTTTTACTCTTCTTCTTATTCGACTTAGTCCTAGCCTTCTAAGGCTCCTCTATAAATAGGATAACGATATTTATAGTCTTATCTCTAGCTTTACTTTCTATTATATAGACTATCTTTAATATTAACTTGATATTATC